CTCACTTTTTAGCCCAGGCTAGCCTCAAACTTGCAGCAATCCTCCTGCCTTAGCCTCCTGAGTGTTGGGATTACACCCAGTTATATTGTTTTTGCTTAAATCTCACCCATTCATTGAAGCTCCATCGTGTACAGTAGGTGGCATCTCCTCCAGCCCTCAAGAGCCTATGTTCCCATACTCTTTCTTTGTAGCACTTATCACCCTCCAGCACTGGTTTGTTGTGGTAGCTGTTGATAGTGGATTCATCCTACCACACTGTGTATCCTACAGGGGCTGGGGTGTTTGTTGGTCCAGTGACATATCTCACATACCTATAAGAGAGCCTGGCACAGAATAGGTCCTTAGTGAATTAAGTTGAGTTGCCTGCATGAATTAATTAACCAGATGGTTTTCAAAACAAGCCAAGAAAAGCCTGAGGTTTATAAAAAGTGGTGTCAAAGACCCTCTTTCACCAAGTCAAGTAATTCCAGGTCCACATGTTCTCTTGAGGGCTATTTGATGATGGAGATTATGCCTAAGCCCCCTCTTCAAGAGGCATTTTGACACCATGCACAGCAGTATTGGTTACTCATCCTGGTCACAGGTTTCAGTAGCAAGTCAGATAAGCACTGCTTTGTGCAGTGGGAAGCCAGGGCATATTCACGGAGATAAATGTAAGTATTTAAAACACGGGAGCACCAGGTGTGGTGGTGCATACCTATAATCCCAGCACTCAGGAGGCTAAAGCAGGCGGATCATTCTAAGGTTAAGGCTAGACTGAGCTATGTTAATATATAACAAGACCCTGCTAAAAGAAACAGCAACAATGTGTTGTATCAGTTGTGGTTGAGTTAATGTCCCTGGTGCTCAGGTTCCACTTGTTCTGAATTTGTTAGCCATTGACTCATTTGTAGAGCTGGAAATAAGAATAGATCTGTGCTTGGGTGGAGAAAACAGTGTATTTGTGTTTCTCTTTATGCTGTATGTGGCTCTGACCTCCTCTCTTTCAGGGTGAAAAAGCTAACAGCTTTTACATCATCGAGTCTGGTGAAGTACGCATTATGCTTAGGAGCAAGGTGAGTGTATGGCTGGCATAAGGACCCAGGAGCCAGGTACATGCACAGAAAGTACTGTGTTGCAAAGTGTGAAATGAGTTAGAGTTTCAAGCCATCATTCTGGTGAGGTCTGTGACTGCAGAGACACTGACTAAAGCACATTCATCAATAAGAGATCAGTTTCTCTCTGGTATTCCTGCGTTTGCCTCTGCTTTATAATTAATGATATGAGGAATATTGGCACACAGACAAATAAGAAAAAGTAACCATAATAGAAAAGGGAGTAATTACATAATGAAAAATACATACTGGGATGACTATGAAGAAAGCTTCCTTTTGAGAGTCCTGTCAGGCAGATCTCCAGGACATTATGTATTACTATGACCATTTGAGAGCCAGACATGTTGGTGCATACCCAGCACTTGGTAGGATGAGCCCAGAGAATCACCAGGAGTTTGAGATCAGTCTGGACTACATCACTTTAAGACCAACCTGAATTACACAATGAGACCCTGTCTCAAAACTGTGAGTGAGTGAATGAAAGAATGAATGAATGAATGAA